CTCTCCTCGGACCAAGGGGGAGACCGCCGGCCGCGGCGGTGACGCACTGGCATCGCACAGGGCTTACAGGTTCCAGGGTCTGGGGGAGCTGGGCGGCGGCGGTAGGAGAGTTGCGGTGGGAGAAAGCCGCTCTAGACACTGCGTTTGCAACCACCAACGGATAGAAAAGGAGGTTAACAAAGATAGAACACAAAGAGAAGGAAAGAGAGCCGTTAGGCCGTCACCATCACTGCCGAAGAAAGGGGGGAGCTCCGGGTTGCTGAAATCAGTGCGGGGGGGTGTAGATACGCGACATTGCAGATGTATTTACAGAATAAAGAATGAGAGAATGAAAAATAATATTTCAAATTAAACTTAAAGTTGGTTGGTCTAGGTACTGCTCAGTCGCTTGTATGACCTCAACGATCTGTGTAAGCAGCGGGCTCAGCTGAGTGGTCTCGTCGCCATGTAGTGAGGAGAGTGGCTATGTTCTTCTTCTAAGAAGAGAAGTTAATGAATAAAACCTATAAAATAAATCATTCAAATGTAAACAGCAACAAATACACACAGAGGGGATGGGAGGAAAAGGGATTTTCGGTTGCTTTCTGACGCCGCACCAAAAAGAAGGCGTCACAGGGAGGACGGGGGGTGGCGGGATGTCAGCTAGTGGCGTTGATGTTTTTTTTTGTTTCTTTGGTATCTTTGCTGTTGTTAGTCCATTTATCCTAGAAATTAAATCAAAAATAATATTTCGAAAAGCCTTTGAAGCTATTTAGTGCTTCTTCAGCGCCCTGTCTGCACACGCTAGAGCCGAGCTTGCACGGCAAAGTCGATCTGCGTAAACATAATATTTTCACCTTGCTCGACTCATAATTTAATTCATTAAAATACCTGTAGAATTCTCTAAATATATTCTAATTTCCACCCAATTCATCTCTTATTAATGCACGTTCTGCGTTTCTTTACTGGCCTCCCTGTTGTGTTGCATACGGCTCGTCGTGCGGAGCGGAGGCGTGTTTCTGCAATGCACATTTGTTTGCTCGTCTCAATAAAAAAAGGAAGGTGGATCACAGACAAAACAACATAAATAAAAACTGAGGAAATAAGATATGTAGAGACTAGAACTAAAAGTGCCAAAATACGCGCGATGAAGAAGAGCAAATCACCTGCGTTTCCGTACGTCATTTGACTACAACCGCCGAGCAGCATTCATATAAAATAAATGTAACACATTACTGTTGCAGGCAGCCAACGATATAATATAATATATAGTGAGGTTCATAATATATACGGAAGTCCATTTGTTCGACTTCTTTCTACTGCTTCCCTCTCAACGGCCGGGGCCTCGGAACACTAGAAATCTGTAGGGAGGCTAATTCCAGTCTACACTGATGTTGAAGCTATGTGCAGCATCTAT